AGAGTAAACCAACTTTCTCTTCCCAGAAGTCTCACCCATTAAATTCCCTTGGTTGCACAAAATATTTAAGAAAAGTATGGGAGTAGATTGGATGACCCAAAAGTGGGAGAAAGGGGACCACTCTGTCCCATTCTAATCCAACAGTACAGGCTAAGGGTATGCTGTCTTTAGGGGGGGTTAGATAGTGGGGGAGGGCGGATAGTGGGGGACAGGTGTAGAATTGGACGCATCCTCCCTCCCCTTTGTAGGTTTTAGCTAGCTCTTAAATGCTTGTATGATGGCTAACTCTCCATTTCAGACATCTACTTCAATAATGAACAAATATGTGTCTTTATTCTTGATTAGGCTGTTTTTATTTTTTAAAGCTATGTCTTACACAGTGTTAAAAATCTTTTTTGGATGAGTAATTGTATTTATTTTTAAAAGACACACATATGGCTTGAAATTCAAAAGCTACAAAAGGCTGATGGGGTGGCTCACACCTATAATCCTAGCACTTTGGGAGACTGAGGCCAAGGAACACTTGAGGCCAGGAGTTGGAGACCAGCCTGAGCAACACAGAGACACCCTGTCTCTGCAAAAAATAGAAAAACTAGTCAGGGTGGTGGCACAGCTCTGTAATCCCAGATACCTGGGAGCCTGAGCAGGAGGTGTGTTTAAGCCCAGAAATTTGAGGGGTTTGCAATGAGCTATGATGATGCCATTGCACTCCAGCTTAGGGAACAGAGTGAGACTGTCTCAAAAGAGAAAGGATCCAAAAAAATACAAAGGATACATAAAACGAAGACTTCCATCTCTGTCTCTAGCCACCCAAGCAATTAATCAGTTCTTGGTTTCAGTTGGAGACATTTTATGTATCTATACTCACAGGGAAATACAGCGGTCCCTGGGTATCCGTGGGGATTGGTTCCAGGACACTTGCAGGTACCAAAGTCCTCAGATACTCATGGCCTTTCTATAAAATGGCATATAACCTATATACATCCTTGAAACATCTGTAGCCTATTCATAACCCCTAATGCAATGTAAATACTGTGTAAGAGTTGTTAGACTGTACCATTTGGGGAATGACAAGGAAAAGTCTGTACATAGTAAATACAGATGATTTTTTCCCTGAATATTTTTGATTTGTGCCTGGTTAAATCTTAAAACTATGGATGTAGAGGGCCAACTACATGTATTATCTTCTCCCCTCTTTTTTTTTTTTTTTTTTTTTTTTTGCAGTTTTTTGGCCGAGGCTGGGCTTGAACCCACCACTTCCGGCATATAGGGTCAGTGCCCTACTCCTTTGAGCCACAGGCACCACCCCTTTTCCCTCTTTTTAATTCAAACAAGTACAGGCAGTGTCTTATACTTTCTTTCAATTGAGTGTACCTTCAAGATTGTTCCATTTCTGTGCATAAAAACTATCCTCATGCTTTGGGGGGGGAAAGACAGTTTCTTATTGGCTGCATGATCAGGGAACTTATTAAGCTTTTTTTCCTCAACTGCAGAGTAAGAATAGCCTACCTGTCCCACCAGAGCCACAGCTTAAAGGCACAGATGAAGGTATAGCTGGAGGAGCATAAGGTATACTCAAGACCTGGGTTTCATTTACATGAAAGTTGGCAATATCGGTCAGGGTCTTAGGGTTAGAAGGTGCTATCATTTGTCTGCTCCTTCCAAAACTCATGTTGATGTTTGATCCCCAGTACTGGAGGTAAGATTTGTGGGAGATGTTTGGGTTCTGGGGGCAGATCCTCATGAAAAGCTTGGTGCCATTCTCGGGAGTGAGTTCTCACTCTCAGCTACTATGAGAACCGGTGTTGAAAAGAGCTTGGGACCTTGTCCCCTTTCTTGTTTCCTTCCTTTGCCCATGTGCTGCCTGCTCCTCTTCACCTTCTGCCGTGAATGGAAGCTTCCTGAGGTCCTCCTCAGAAGCAGGTGCTGGCACCAGGCTTCTCGTATAGCCTGCAGGGCCATGAGTCAAATACACCTTCTCTTTATAAATTATCCAAACTCAAATATGCCTTTACAGCAGCACAAACGGACTAAGGGGGCGGAGGAAACCCTAACTCCCTAGAACAGCATCTGCAGCTTGCTTTTATAGGCTGGACCGGATGTGACCTGTGTGCGTGGGAACAGTCATTCACTGAATACCCTAAGATACATTTGGATGGGCAGTTTGAGGACCTTCAGGAGACTTCAACATCCCTAGTAAAAACGGCAAGCAGGAAGCATAGCAAAGAACTTCTGTAAGAGTTTTAAAGGTACTAACTCAGTCCGTCCCTAGGACAGCTCTGTACGGTAGGTACTAACTCAGTCCGTCCCTGGGACAGCTCTGTAAGGTAGGTACTAACTCAGTCCGTCCCTGGGACAGCCCTGTAAGATAGGTACTAACTCAGTCCGTCCCTAGGACAGCTCTGTAAGGTAGGTACTAACTCAGTCCATCCCTGCGACAGCCCTATAAGGTAGGTACTAACTCAGTCCATCCCTGGGACAGCCCTGTAAGGTAGGTACTAACTCAGCCCATCCCTGGGACAGCCCTGTAAGGTAGGTACT